TCATGAGCTACTAGTGCGTCATCGTCATTTTATCCTTTTTGGGAAGCGCCGAGCAGCAGTTCTTCATGAACTACTAGTGCGTCATTTACTCTTTTTGAAAGCGACAAGCAGCAAACTCTTCATGAGTTACCAGTACGTGTTACCAGTACGTTATGATTCTTCGGAAAACAGCAAGTGGTAGCCTCTTTATTTGAGCAACTTGTTTGTTATCGGTACTTTCTTCGGAAAACAGCAAGTGGTAGCCTCTTTATTTGAGCAACTTGTTTGTTATCGGTACTTTCTTCGGAAAACAGCAAGTGGTAGCCTCTTTATTTGAGCAACTTGTTTGTTATCGGTACTTTCGTCGGACGACAGCAAGCGGCAGCTTCTTTATTCGAGCAACTTGTTCGTTATCGGTATTTTCTTTGGACGACAGCAAGCGGCGGCTTCTTTATTGGAGCGACTTGTTTGTTATCGGTATTTTCTTTGGACGCCAACAGCTGGCAATTTTCTTTATTTGAACAACCTTCGTATCTACAGTCTTATCACCTCAGCATTAATGAGTATACCTCTGAAATCTCGCAGAGAAGTCTGGTACGAATCTACACCTCCAGAAGTCGGTAACCAGTTATCAGCAATTCGATACTCCCTGTCTACCGTCGACCTTGAGTTGCGAATTCACTATTTGGATCAATAATCTGTTATGGCCTATGCAAGGTGCTCTCTTTGTTAGGGTTAGAGGTCGTATTCCCTCAGTTTTATTCGCTGTCAGGAGTCTGTCGTTTGAAGTCGATAGCTCGTTCTCCCAGTAGCGTATAACTCATGTCTTTGTGTTTTGTTGACGTTCGATTCCCTCAACATTGTCTCGTTTCACAGTATCTTTCTCTGTGAGTTAGATCGTTGCATTCTTACCACCGCATGAGGACGGCATCTTAGGACAAAATTTGCGTAATTATGTATTTAAGTACCTTCAATCTCGTCGACACGAAGATTTTAATCTTCATATCTCCGGATAGAAGAAACTTAAATAGGGGCAGCTGTTGTACCCCAAATTTTGACCTAAGACGTCATCTCCTATCCGCATCTTTACATTACATTTGTTTTGATCCATCGATTTTAAATTTCATGACTTTTTCGGGCCAAGAGCTATTTATGCTGAACATTGAATCATTTAATCGATTCGTGCAAAATGATGTTTATTAATTATCTATTATCTAAAACTTGAATAATTGAAATTCATTTTTTTGATTATTATTTAGTTTAAAGATGTAGGGATAATAAAATGAACATCAGAGAAGAGGCGCATTAATTGTGCGGACGTTTTATTTATTTACTCATTATTTTTAAATTTAAGTAACTAGAATTTATTCTTAGTTATTCTATAATTTAAAGGTTATGAATAATATAAATAAGCATTTGAGGAAATTCATTGGTCAATAACGACTGTTTAATCGTTCGTCGTTCTAGGTTAAATAATTGAAATCCTATTTTAATTATTATAATTTAGTTGAGAATGATGGATTAAATAATCGAAGGTATTAGTTGGTCAATGATAATTATTATTTATCTGTTTATTATTTTGAATGTAGGTAATTGGAGATTTGTTTTCAATTATTATTCGTTTGGATAAAATAATAAACGATAAATAAATAAAGAAGAAGAATTAATGGACAAATAGTTTCTTTTATTCATTTTTTGGTACAAGCTATTTTGTAAATATTGTATATATTGCAATAAATTACAATAATGAATTGTCGAAATTAAAATGAAATAAACTAGTCTATCTTAATTCTAAAGCTTCCAATCCAATGCGTGTCCGCTCATTTAATTTTACCTGCACAATTAAAAGAAAAGAATTAGAATTCAAATAAATAATTAAATGCAGAAAATAAATTTTAAATGTTCATCATTAAATGTAATGGCCGGAATCAGTTATTATTTTTTGCAAATCACGGGATTACTCCCGGTTCACAAAAAAAAGGAAAAGGATTTCAAAACATATGCATAAATTGTTTTCCAAAAAAAAACTGCATACTTAAGCTAATCACATTAGTTTTTAATCCCAAATATAATTTCAAAGCATACAGCATAAGCAACAAATATGTAGTAACCATATGCAAGCATGCCCTTTTAACGTGGCCTACATCAAGAAGCAGACAACATTTGATTTAAAAACAAATATGCAGTTTGACTATTCTTGCAAGCAAAAAATTTCCTTTTTCTTTCATCATTTTCCAGCCACTGCATTTTCAGAAAATAGACAGCTTATCACTCTTTTGTCAAAGCCATTCTGAGAGAGAAAAAGAGAGGGAGAAGTGTGGGATTTGCAGGCTTAGCTTAGGCAGAAAGAGATATACAAAACAAACTAAGAAATATAGCCAGTAAGAATAATAGCACAGAAGAAGAATAAAGGCAAACTGAGTGGACAGTAGTGCAGAATGCTCAGGGAGATCCCAAGAGATTTGTTTCAAAGTTCCTGGCCTGTAGCGCAAGAGAAGAGAGGAGAACTGTTATATTACAACAAAGAGAAAACAAAGGATCGGATCTTCAAAAAAAAACAGCATAAGAGAAAACCAAATATACAAGTTAGCAAAAACATAACCTCAAACCATTTTTCAAAAACCTGTAGAACAATCATTCAAAATAGCCATCACCAAACCAACAAAAACCTGCAATGGCCTCACATCAGTAAAAACTTTGGCCTTGTCCAACCTAACCGAAAACCAGTTCACCATGTCAAAACCTGCATAATCACTGAGAAAACGATTTTTCAGACCATACAAAACATTACCGACTGATTGAGCCCCCTATAGCCAATATCACTATCCCACTGTCAACACCACCCATCAGCATAAACAACCAATGCCTTAACATGCTGTCAAGAACCATAAAACATAGCTCAATCCTCATACCAGTAAAAAACGATATCCCTACTGTAAAGGCCTACATACAAAAACCTGACAAAACCTTTTACAAGTTCAAGCTTTCAAACCCATTCCCTAGCCTCAGAAAGTTCATTCATCATAGGCGATAAACCCACCATAGGCAACAGCATTCAAGAAGAAGAGAGAGTTATCATCCAATTCCACAAAATATCCAAAGCAACATTTCAAGGCAAATCGGTGAGGCCCTCAGTGTACACATCACTGGGCAACAAGGTTCCAACAATAGCAAATACAGTAGCATTCAAGCAAAAGGAAGGAAATCGCGAATACCGTTCACCACCGTGCGCGCCTGCTGTCTCCCTGCTGTCCGGCCTCCATCACCCCAAGCCCTCCTCCTTCTCCATCTAGGTAACGCCTTCTTCCATTCTCATTCCTTAAAATGCCATTCAAATCAACATGGAAAGTAAAAATGGTAAACTAGTCAGAATCAACCAAGAAGCCTTAAAGTCACTAAGAAATTGTAAAATCAACAACGAAACTATAAGGGTTATACGCGAATTGAATCAACATTAACATTAACGAAAATGTTTTGGTCATTACCGTCTCCGCTTGAAGCCGCCGCGTCAACATTGGAGGGAAGAGAGACTTGGTGTGGGTGGCCGGAACATGGAAACATCGGCGTTGGAGGCGAAGAAGCGAAGAAGCTGCGCAAGAGAGAGATGAAGATCGTGAGAGAGGCGCCGTTCTGCCTTAAACCAAACCCTAAAATCCCTTTATCAAACAAACACAACCCTAATTGTGATTTAATCCCTTGGACCCCCTTAAACCCACGACCCGCTCCATTTCTCAACCCAACCCAATTCTTCTCTTACACTAAAAGCCCATTGCTAATTGTTTATTCATACCCCATTTTCTTTTATTTGGTCTTTAATCAAATTATATTCATTTCTTAGTTTAATTAATTTAGACTAGTTAGTTCTTAGGAATAACATATAATTTTTTAAATAGACATTTTTAATATTATTTACCCAAATCTCATTTAGCTTAAATTTAAGTTTTATTTAATAACCTTAACCTTCCTTGTTTCTAATTCATTTTAAATTCATGGTTTGATTTAATTCAAAGAAAATATTTAATATCTCTAAAAAACATAAAATGAGAAAACTAAAAGGCATTTTATTTTATTCCCCTCATTTTGATTAAATACCAATATACAAAAAGACATAAAAAATAGAAATATATAAAACATTAAAAACATTTCTATTAATTCTCATTACCTTTTATTATTAAAAATGCGTAAAAAGGTGAAAACCAATTAAAAACATTTTTCTCTTCATATATTAAACAAAAAAATCATATAAAATGCATGTTCATATTTAATTGTTGTGTATCATTTTCTATCAATTATTCTATTGCACTTGTTTATTCTATTTGCACCAATCCAAAGGGAATTGTCTATTTTTTTGTTGACTTCATGTCCTCAAAAACGATCAAGCGAACACTCTCATTTCATTGAAACTTAGGATAATTTTTCCAAATGTCCGATTTCTCCAAAACTCACACCTTTTAAGTCAAAACTTCAACGTTAAGTTGTCGTATCTTCAAAAACCCGTCCGTATCCCCTTTTTCGGCCAAAACGATTTATTTTCAATCAAGCGATCAATTTTAAATAAAACAGATATTTCAAAAGGTTCCTATAGAGTACTATAGATACATTGGGTGCTAATACCTTCCCATTGTATAACCAACCCCCGAACTCTCGATCTCTTTTCAAAAACGCTTTGTATTTGTATTTTTATTTACATTGCATAATTAGGGTTTTATTTCGCTCTTTTCCCTTTTCCTTTGGAAACAATAAAGCGCGGTGGCGACTCTTGCTTTTGTGAGACGAATTAATCAATAATTCGATCTCCGATTTACCCCGCTACATTTTTTATCGCTACAAATTGTAAATTATATTTTTAATTAAACATGTGTGTCAATTAAAAAGTAAATATATATATGATAATCCACTAAAAAAACTCAGAACAATTTTTAAGGAAAAGTGAAAAATCCATTCTAAACAAAAGCATTGTTATTCTTTCATACAAACCAAAGCAACAAAACAAAAAGAAAACAAACCAAATAAATCAAACTTCAAACTTTCCACACCAATTGAAAAAGCTTTTTATCTTCACTTCCATTCCTTCCCTTCATCATATTTCTATCCTTTTGCTTTGATCTAACATATGCTCCTTTCACAGAGCTTGAACCTCTTCTCAAACTCTTCTCCCAAACAACTTCCTTCACTTCTTTCAAACATTTTTTCGGTCGAAAATCACAACGCCTTTCTTTTGCTTCTCTGTTAACCTCTTTGATTTCAATCTTAGCCCCTCCTTCAACTCCTATGTTTATAACCACCTTAGAAAGTGCTCTAGTTTTGTTATTTACCTTATCAAACACCGCTTCTTTAGCCTCTCTTTCCTTCCTTTGCTGAAAAATTCGGTTCAATCGACGAGCAAGATTGTATATACTTTCCTTAATCTCCTCTTCCAAATCCTTTTCAATCTTCTTCGCAAGCTCACTCCGTATCTTCAACTCCTCCGCAGAAACAGGTACCTCAAAAACATTCTTATTTGACATATCTACAAAAAAAATTAAATAACTAAAACACAACAATTTTATCAACAAAAACTTTGAAGAATGAAAAGAAAGAATATAATTAATTATTATAATATTTTAGTTATATTTGGTGCTATGATTTATATAGTAGCAATGTGATTTGGACATGGTGAAATGGGACCTGTGACACTAGATAATGAATAGGACACAACATAAGGTGCTTAGTGAAAATGTGACAGTAAGAGATGTTTCAGATGGATCCTACAAATTTAAACAACAAATTGCTCTAACGGGTTTAGTATAGATTTGGATTTGCATGATTGATAAGGACGAGATACGAGTAATTTTATAAAATTAATTTAAAATTCAGCTTTACGTGGAAGAAATAAAGCTGTTTGGGTTTTCTTTAAAGCATCATAAACCATTATAAGGGTAGAATTTGCTCATGTTTGATGTGTCTCTTTTGGATGTGTACACTTTTCTTCCATTTGTTGACATAAATTGGTTTGGAAAAGAATAAGAAACATTAAGTGAAAATAAATAAGATAAAATTTAAAAAATTAACCCCTGGTTCTGGGTGGTTTTCTGATTTATATTTTAGAATTATCAAAAAGTAATTCTTTTTAAAATTTTCATAAACAAAATAAATTTTCATTGTAAGTTAGAAACTTTTTAAAGAACAAAATCAATTTTAAATATAAACATAAAAAAATATTTATCATAAACATATCTTTATCCAAATAATTTATACTATTAAGTTTACAAGTCTTATAAATATTATAATATATTTACTTATTGAATTTTAATAATAGTGATTAAAAGTAGTGGTTGTAGTATACATATGTTACAGCGGTGATCATTGGTCACAATGCTGGTGCGTGATGGTCAAAATATAGTGTTGGAGAAGAATATGGGTGTTGAACGCCCCGGGGTTGAATAGATATTTTTTCCTTTAATATCAAATTTTTAATGTTTTTTTTTTTTACAAAATCAGAGTTATACAAGATATCTGGATTGAATCTTATTAAGGGAGGAGTCAATCTAACTCTACTAGTTTATACAATTAAAATATCAAAAATAATATTTGAATGCCGGAATCTATTATAGACCTACGCTTACATAAAAATCGCTATAACTTGATCAAGCTTAGCTACATGCGATTTTAGAAAATCAATAAATTCAAAGATCATACTGTCATACCCTAAATTTTGTCTCTAAGTTTTCAGCCGCATTAGCATAGTATATTTTATTTTATCTGATCACAATCTTTGATAAGCATCTTCATTCATTGCATTTGCATCATTAGTCGTTCATTCATGAATTTAGGTTGACCAAAAATCAACTTAAATCAACATTTACATCGTTTTAGAGTTAAAAATACTTGATATTTTACTTAATGCATTTTTATTTCTTTACATCGCTTCAATGATTGCACCATGTGGTTTATATTTCAATAATATTGATATTTCGGATCTACAGGCAGACCGTTAAAAGCAATTTGATACCGTATAAAAAATTAACAGGTAAAATATTTCGAGTTTTCATCTTTAGTTGACTGTTTTATGAATCTACGTTGCACATAGATCATGTTGGTATGTTTGTTTTATTTTTTCGATACAGTTTACAATCTCTTTCTTAATCGTCAGCGCCTGTTCAGTCGGATATTCTCATTTTCATTTTGATTTTGATCATCTTTAGTCTTTTTCATTAAATTTTGTGATCTGTAGTATATTTTAATGTGCTCATTTTCTTTTTATGATTAATTGAGTGTCTACTTTTTATTATTTTTTGATTATTTTAGATGTCCTTTTATATTCAGAAAAAATTGAAACAAAAATATTTTAGGATGTATTTATTTTTGTTCTTTTAGTTTTCTAGCTTTATTTTATCCAAAAGGGTAGTTTGGCCATTTAAATAAATTATGAAAACCCTAAGTTTTTGTTATAAAGAGGATACGATGAAATTGTGTGGGAGACTAGCGGAAATCAATGGAAAACCAAACGAAATACCCAGAAACCACATTCTTCTCTAAAACCCAACTTCGTCTCCTCACTATCTCATCACCTTCTAAACACTCTCCTTTTTTGGTAACCTATACTACAACACCACCATCGTTCAACCAACGAAACCCATCCACCTTCAAACAACATCTGATCCCGCTCTCTCCGCCTACTCCACTTCTGCACCTGCCTTCACCTTCTAAACACTACACATAGCACTGTCTGGTACTCCCTCCGTCTACTGTCCCAGACATGCACCTCACATCCAGACCAACCAGACCCCCGCGTTCGTCTGTCTTCCAACCGCTCACCCTCCATCAGCTCCCTTCAAACCACCCTCTACTCTTCCGATCTCCCCCACCAACGAACCACTCTGCTAGCTTTAACCTCATGATAGTTCAACACTTCCATCATCATTTTAAGTGGGTAAAACCTCATACTTCCATCACTATTTTTATTTAATTAATTTTTTGGTATTATTAAGATAACCGTTGAAGTATGTATTTTATTTATGATGTTGTTTGTGTCAAATTGGAATGAGATTTTGTTGTCAATACCATGTTACTTAAGTTAAATTGATTGAAGTTTTAATTGATGATTATGGTTTTGTTTGTGTCAAATTGATGATGAAATTATGATGATGTTATTGTGTTGTTTATGTTGAGTTAAATGTTGAAGTTTGATAATGTTATGAATTAATTGTTGTGATGTCGATACCATGTTATTTAATTAATTTAAGAAGTGTTGATGACATTTTTTGTGTATTTAAGTTGAATTTTAGTAAAGAAATTTGGTTTTGATATCAATGTATTCTCATTTGTTTCAAATATGTTTGAGTTGGAATTAATGAGCCTCATTGTGTATGTGTTGTTGTTGTCTGGATGTTGATTTAGATGATTAAAGCTTGGTTTGAACTTGATTTTCATGTTTTGAAGTTGAAGTGAGTAATGTCTTGAGTTAGTACTAATAACCTTGATTTTGATGACATTAGGATGTTAGTTGTGTTGATTTTGAATGAGGAATTCGATCATGGCGTTATTTTGTTGTTTCCGTTTGTATTGAGCATGCTTGAGATGAAATTATTGAGTATCGATGCTTGTTTGTCACGGCTGCTCAGGTGCTTATGAGATGATAAAATTTATGTTTCAATGTTGTTTGTTCATATTTTGAATGTGATTTGAGTAGTAACTTGATTGGTTTCTAATTGATTTTAATTTTGATGGTTAGAATAAGTGTTTGAAGTTGATTTGAAACTTTAAGAGTTTTTCATGAGATTTTGGTTGGAATTTGTCATTTACCATTTACTTTGTTAATATGCAATTGAATATGTTGCATTTTGAACCTTGTTTCTTGCTTTATTATTCCATTCAAACATGTATGGTGATTTTGGTTGGAAATTGGGTTACATACATGAGCTAAGAGAAATTTTCCTTTGTGTTTATTACTAACGTGTTTATGGTTTGTGTAAGCTCTCAAGATAGCTCAAGTGATCACTTCCTCTTAGCACAATTTCATTTCTTTCTTTTTCTAATCTATTTTAACTATTGTTTTAATTAATTTATTTTATTAATTAAAATGGATTAGTTTACTAATCTATTTTTCTTAACCCGATTCATTAATTGGATCAATCTTTAATTAATCGATTCGCATTTACCTCATTCCTATGATGTTGTAATAATTAATTTCTATTGCTTTCATTTCATTTTGCTTTACTTTATTCTCATTCCCATTTGATAAAAGGTGTATCCCTCTCCAATTATAATGTAAATAACTTACCGTATTTCTTTTGTTTGTACTTGAATATTTACTATTTCATTAGTTCTCATCACATGCACAAACCATTTTTTAAGGAATTAATACTCGATTGCGAGTCATTTTCATACCATAAGTCTATAAAGATTTTAAGCATCACAAACGACCACACATGCACACTTGCATTCTAGATTCGGGGCATTATTACAGTATGACATATTCAATCAATTGTTTCAATTGGTCGTCTAGAGACTAGCTCACTTTGCTAGTAGCACTTAGACACTAGGGTTCATATCTTATCATACATTCTTGTGTCAGCCACCTTGTATGGGCTTGTATGCTTTACTCTCTTATCATTATCCCCATTTAAAAGTGTGTACCCCCATTCCTTTGACGATGTAATAATTTTGTTGCTTTCCTTTATTTTGTTTATGTCTTGTCTATTGTATTCTATTAACTTAAACCCCCGCATTCTAGGTCCATATACTGGATCACAACCTATTTGATAAGTCGAGTTTGCTTTGCAATCACAATCAACCACCCCTGTATCTCGGTCCATATACCGAATCACCACCAATTTGATAAGTCGAGTTTGCTTCGCAATCACAATCGACCTCCTCATGTTCTATATCACCACTTTCATAATAAAGTTTCAAACCTCGATCCAACGTCTAGTTTATTTTCAAAACCTTTTCTCAATAAAAACACAGGAAAGATGGTTGGGACGATTCTATCCCCTCTTTCTCAAGTGTTGGGTTGTTATTTATTTTTCAACTTGCGATCCTACACTTGGCTTCCTTAAACTCTTAATTAAGTGAACCTTCTTTCACCTCACCTTTTCTTAAATAAAACTTTTGAGATGAAAAGATGGTCAGGATGATTTTTTCCCCTCAATCCAAGTACTTAGAGCATTAGTCGTTAACACTTACGGTCTGATGCTTGTCTCCCGCATTAACACAATCTCAACTCATTCAAACATTTTTCCACTTGTCTTTTCAATTTAAAACCTTTTCAAAATAGAGATAGTCCTTTTATTTCGCGATAATGAAGTAACGTTCCTTCATGTTGTACCCTAAAAATTGCCATCCCTTTATTCAAAGAGATTCTCATAGGTTTTCATTTGCTCAAGGTTGCTCAAGAACTTATCAGACAAATTCTCCTCCTAACCAATTGACCTACAACTAGGGTTTCACTTTTATCAAGTAGGATTGGGTTTATAAGGCCTCAAGTAGATTTCATGGTTTCTTACATGTCTTCAAGAATGCTCAT